TTTATTATATACTACTTTAAATCATATAATAATAATATTGTTAATATATAATAAATATATTGTAAGCATGTTTAGCACAAAACATAGGTTTCTGTAAAGCGGATATCAGTTATCGGATATTCGATCTAAATTTAATCCGGATATCTTATAATCATCAGAATAAGTGGTAACCGGATTGGAACTCTAATCAAAGCATAAATTAAGATCCTCCGCTACGCTTCGGATCATTAAACATGTATAATAATCGTAGTCGAAATAAATTTAAAAAATTAGAGTTCCAATCCATTAAGAATTTATCCAAATAATTATCAGATGATATCAATTTCTAGGGGATGGTTAAAGACATGTATGTACCCACGCGATTTGGTTAAGTTTTAATTAAGATTAGGGTTAGAGTGAAGGGAAGAGTAGTTATATAGGAAAATTGTCTCTCAAGATAGGTTTAGACTGCCGTTTTTCATAATTTGCATTTTCTTTATTTTTTTGACTTCGTCAGGCTGATCCGTGTAAACCAAATTGCGATTCCGGTTGGTTTGTTTACACTAAAAAAGTTACATGGGTACGCATTTCTATCCATTTATTGAATACTTGTCAGATTATCCGGATATCTGGGCAATTTGAATTATCCGGATAATTAGATATGGATAAACGGATGACCGGATTGGAACGCTATAAAAAAACTCAAAAATTAATTCTTTCGACAAATATAGATTTAAATATATTAAAGCTTGATTTTCACTATCTTCCATTAGCTCATTATAATAATGAGAAATATTTACTTTTTGTTAAATTTATTACTATTATTTTTTACATTAAGCAACCCTTCGCTGGTCTATACTAAAGAAGCACTAGCAGAATTATGGGACGTAGAAGATAGTGAATTACTTAATCTTTTGGCTATTGAGGGAAAATTGATCACAATAGATATAACTTTACAACAATTGCTAAAAGATCACTCTTCAAGTTTTGGAGGAACATACATAGATGTTAAGAAGAACCAAGTATTTGTCAATACTGTGAACCCTTCTGTAGTTCCTATAATAAAAAGTTCATCAGCGTTTAACAATAATGATTACTTAAACTTCATAACCTTTGTAACCAAAAGCAATTCAATGGATATATTAGCGTACCGCATTATTAAAATATATGAGAAAATTAAACAATTCAAACCAATTAATATTCTATGTTATATTGATATAGAGCTTAATAATGTAGTAATACGTCATGATCAAAAGACAAATGATGAGTTTATAAACTCTGTTCGTGAATATAACCCAATTTTTGTTCAATTTGAGGTTGGTTTATCACACCCTAGATGTAATGAAAATAATGATGACATAAGAATAACACAATTTTCTATTTCACGAAGAGACTTAAATCTCAAAATCTTAAGTGGTGAGGGTTTAATAAATCTTTTTAATGATTTAGGCTGTTCTGTGGGTTTTTGGGCAAGAGATAAGAAAAATGCAAATCTGAATTACATTGTAACTGCTGGACATTGTTCTAGTAAACTATCACGATTGGTTGATACAGAAAATTTTGCTCATATGGCGTGGGATTCTACTGAACGCAATTTACTTGGACGAATGGTAGAATCTAAAAATATAGGCAAATATGATTTTGGTTTGATTGATATAACAGGCAGCAAATTCTTAAAATCAGTGACAACACTCATAAGAAATACAGATTCTGAAAAGTATTCTGAATTAATTATTGAACGTGGCATACAAATAGTTAGCCATGGTGCTCATGTATGTAAATCTGGTTTTAGTTCGCATGTTACTTGCGGATATATAAAAGGACTTATTACAATTAGCACGTTTTTAGAAGGTATACCTTTCAAGGATTTTGTATTTTATGGTAAAGACACTTTTCAAATATCGTGTGGGGGTGATAGCGGAGGTCCTCTATTTTCTTATTTACAAAATTTAAATACTGTGGGTCTAAGTGGCATACATATTGGTGGCATTGGAGATTTTTCTATTTTTTTGCCGTTAAATATAATTCTCAGTAAAGGTAAAATAAGTCTCGTTAGACCTTTTCCTTAGAACTGATGAAGAATTCATATTCTTGATAAATTATTTATCTGTTAGATATTATCAGTGTTGGGCACTGGACTATGTCCAGTTATAAAAACATTGGACAAATTGGACTAAAAAAGTGGAATATGTCCAATTTTGTTCCAATTTACTACAACAATTCCAATTGGCACTTGGGCACTGGAACGGTCCAGCCTATAACTGGAATTAGTAACAATTGGACTGGTCCAATAAATTGGAACGGTCCAATAAACTAGTTCGATTCAGAATCAAAATTATATAGTAATACAGTTTTATTGTATAAATTATACATAAAATTATTTAATGCTTTTTTCGTTAAATACAGTACAATCACCCAATTATAAATAAACAAAAGAACACATAAAACCCAACTCCTAATTCTCTATACCATTTGAATTCTTAACTTTCTATGCTTCTGTATCCTTTGGTTCAATTCAAGTGATTCCAGCCACAATCCATTGCAAGATCAGAATCAGAATCGTAATCATCAAAAAGTTATTGATTCTTATAACACGAGTGCAAGTTTTGATAATAAATAAATTGTCTTATAAATATACAAATTGATTAAATGAAAAAAAATTTATTTACCATTAGAATTTTGTATATCACTTGCTCAATTCGTATTGCCGACTAAAACATTCTTTAGCTTTGTAGATTTTTTATAATAATTAAATATATAAAATTAAATAAACAATAAAAAAATATAATCATTAATTTTTTGTTATTTTGATTCTTTTTAAATATTACCAATTCAAGAACGCACCTAGTATCACCACCAAAATCATGTAATCGGTTGTTAAATTTTTTCAATCTAAGCATAATAATAACTTAAAATTAATTATTAGAATTTACTTAATTACCACTAAAAATTCTAAGTCGAATTACTTTCAATTCAAATATTTAAATGCACTTACATTTAATTTGTTTTTTTTTTTAAATACACATATAAACTTTAAATGTTACCGGTAAAATGTGATTTTGTTACGACCGCTCCAAGTTTTTGGAAGCTTTTTTGCTCGTCCAAATCTTTCAAGACAATTGAGCGCCTAAAACATAAAATATATTGAAAATATAGTGATAATAAAAAAAAATATTTATACTTCATGAAGAGTTTTTTTGTACTTAATTTCAGATTCGGATTCACTATCTTCAGTATTCGATTCCTAATTATATATGTTTTCATTTTCTGGATTCACAAGGTCATTCATTATCTTGTGCAGATTAATTAAAGTTGGTCGAATATTTTCCCATAATGTTTGGCTTCTGAAATAAAAGGATACTGAGAAATTCGTCGCACCTAAATTAAAATAATGTGAGGTCGGAAAAACGTGACCTAACAATCGCTGCGCCAACTCACGTTATCTCGGTCATGACGATCTTTTACCCGAAATAGAGTTG